GACCGCCCAGCTCTTCCATGAAGGTGGGCAGATTGTAGGCGTGGATCTGGTGACCGCTCAACATGTCGAGTACACCGTTGGTGTCGAAGCCGAGCTTCGTGGCGTTGCCTGTCGGAGATAGACACCCCAGGAAAATCCACGCCTTCCGCATCTTGCCCCACAGCGTCGCGAACTCGTATACTTGAGGCTCCAGGATGAGGCCGCGCCAGCCGGTGAGCTCGAGTAGGAGCGTGTAGCTGTTCGTCTCGCCATCCCCGCCGTGGGTGTCCAGATAGAAACCGTTAGTGACGTTCTCGAGCACCTGCGTTATGAGCTTGACGTCCTGCCAGGCGCTGGCAAAGGTCTGGATGTTATCCCCCGTTTCCAGGCTGTACTCGACCCAGTGGGGCACGTCGAGCATGTGCATGGCCGAGTACTCGTGGACGGGCCACGAGTCACCAGTACGCGGTGTGCCGACGCCCCAAGGCAGCTCAGCGCTTTCGCCCTCCCCGGCCCTCTGGAACTCCTCCGAGGGCTGGAATCCCCCGCCCCCACGGAGGGCCTGTCTCGAGTCCACGCCCAAGAGGCTGGCGGCCCGCCTCCGCATGTCGCCAGGCGGCACGAGCACGGGCCTGCTGGACGACGCGTTGTCGAGGTCGAGGAAGTACTGCAGCGCCTGCGCCGACAGGGTGGAGGCGTGCCCGTCGGCGTTGTTTTGGTCGGCCTTGCGACTGGCATCCAAGGCCTCCCTGCGCAAGGCGACGCCCTGGGACAGGGGCGCGCACAGCGCCAGAAGCCAGAGCGCCATCACCGCCTACGGGAGTGCGCGTGCGGTGGAACGTGGAATCACCAAGGGAGGGGCGGGGCAGGACAGGGGCGGCGCCTCGGGCAGCCTTGACCTTGAGCCGAAGTGGGTACGCCAAGCAAGGACGAAGAGGAGAAAGCAACACGGAGAGAGATGCCAGCTTGAAGATGCCTTGGGACTGCAGCGCTATCAGAGAGTCTGGCATCGAGTCACTTGTCACTTGTGCGCACCTCCGCTCGCTTCATGTACGCCCCCAGGGTAGATCAAAACACTGCGCTGAGAAAGCCGACTCTTGAATTGCGAATTTGTTGACGGTATCAAGGCCTGGCGTTTTAGGATCATCCGCCACCGTGGCCAGCATCGCGCCGGAGCGTGTTGGAATGTCGGTCTGTTGTATCGTTGTGTCTCTGCTTCGGAAAATCCGCCGACCACGTCGGCGCGCGCGTGGGTGAGTCCTGGGGTGGTCGTCCCGAGTTGGTCCCAGAACACGCCGTTACATCGAAGTTGTCCCCCCTTCTCCCTGTGGCTCTCGACCCAGGCCCAGGTCGTCATCCAATCGAAGGGAAGCCGCTTCCCTTTGATCCCTTCTCCGCCGGTGGGGGGGGGCCTCCTGGAAGGGTCCAGGGGGTCCCCCTGCCTGAAGTGACACGAGTGATCTTGGAGTCGTATTTGAGCCGCCCTGGTCCGCGAGAACCCTCTCGGGCCAACCTCGGCCAACTCTGGCGTTCTTGGGGTCTGCCGGGCCGGTTTCGACGCTTTGGTGCCAACCAAGAAGACCCAAAACGGTTAAACCCAATCGTCCGTGTCAATAAGATCATACAGTTCTCGCCACATCGGTCGCAAGAGTGTCCAAATGGGCCCTGCCTGGAAGACCCTAAGACCACTAAAAAATGACCAAAAGGCCCACAAGGGGCCCAGGATGTTCCCAAGACAGCCCCAAGAGTGGCCCAACAAGCGCGCTACCGCCGCGCCGGCTCCTCCAGCATGATCCCAAGACCCCCAAGAGGCCTGAAAGGTCCCCAGACGCTCCAAGACACACCCAAGTGGGCAGGCCCCCAGGGGACCTCAAAGATGCCCCCCGAGCCCCCGAAATGTCCTCAAGGCCTGCAGAACACGTCCCAAGCGCAACGGCAGGACGGGCCGAAGGTCGCCAGATATCCGCCACTGCATTGCAACTCCTGTTGTTCCTGGCCTCCGTCCGCCTCCTGCGCCCAAGCTTTATGGCTTTATGTTTATGCAACTGCCCTTGCGGCTTTTCGGGGTCTGCGGAACTGGCTTTATGGCTTTTGCAACCGCCCCGAAGGCTTTACTGTCTTCCGCCAGTTTCGGCCCCTTCGATCTCGGAGACTCCAAGACAGCCAAAGACCGCCCCAGAAGGACTGCAAGACGATCTGACCTAACATCCAAAGATGGCCCAGCGACTCCCCGAGCAAGATCTATCCGAGATGCTCCCAGAGGCCCCAACGAATGCCCAAGAGACGGCCGAAGGAGGACGAGGATGAGGAGGAAGGAAGAGGAACAGGAGTAAGACAAGGAGCGCACAAAGATGACGGGTAAGACGGGTCACGCTAAAAGCGTCGGCGGCGAGACTCAGACGTAAGTATGGAAACTGTTGGAGGCGATACGCGGGTAGTACCTGAATCTGGCGGGCCGCGAAGTCGCTGCCGCACTGTGCGGTCGGATATTCGCGCAAAGGCGACGGCGATACATGTTGCGAACGAAGCAGGGCCGCGCCAACCGTGCCAGTCTGAAGAACACTGACAACCTTCTCCCTGCCATCAGCCACCCAGCACGCTGCTACTTCGCCGAGGCCCACTCTGCGCAGCACAGAAGAGTGCACGAATGACCGCGTTGCCTAGCAAACTGCTGGCAGCCGCACCATGTGACAATGGCCAGCGTGCATCCTGAAGGACGCAAGCAAGGCACCAGCAAGCGCCTGGTGTTTGTCCACGAGACGCCAGAAGAAGCGACCGAGACCAGCTGCCGAAGCCGCTGCCACCGATCCGCAAGATCTGGAGGTAGTGTGAGCTGGGGCCACCAGATCTTGATTATTTTCGCGATAGCGACGTGAAACTTCCCAGGGTGAAGAGATACAGCGACCGCCTCCCAGGGAATGCGCCGAGGCCAAGGTTGACGATCCTGGAGCGCAGCTTCTCGCAGCGCAGCGCTGGCGGAGCGGCTGGCCAGCAGTACGGCTCCCTGCCTCTTGTCCAGAGCCGTGCACCTCAGGCCACCAGGCTTGTAGTGTCGACGGTGATTACATACTACTCTGCACAGTGAACTGCGACATGGCCATAGGACCATGTCCCTGCAATGACCAGGGCGGGACGCCCAAGGTGAGAGCGGTTCGAAGCCGCGAGCCAGGAGTCTGTCAGGGTCACACAGGATCCCCTGGGAAATCCAATATATATTGCATCAAGGGTTCGATCACGAGGTCTTTCAATTCGAGAACCAACCCAGAAAGAACTGCATACATCTGTCGCGGGCAAGAGCCAATTGGCCCGTCGAGAGCACCAGCGGAACCAGCACGCACGTCTTCGGCTAAAGGAAGAGGCAAGCCAACTGTCACATGGATACAAAGCGCGGGGCCAGAAAGCGAATAGAGATCAACTCCCAAAGCAAAACTCAGAAGCCACTAGCACAAAGTCCACGCTCAGCATCGCGACGAAGACCAGTCAACAGATTCTCGCGAGAACGACGAGCTAACAGGGATCGCGAAGACCATACCAGCACCCCCGACATAGCCTCGAGGAAAGGGGCGGTGGCCAGGGCCAAGATCGCGCCCGAAGGAAGACAGCCTTGAGCGACCCCCGTCAACGCCTGGCAGAGGTAGCACGACTTGGCGCCCGGCTGGGTCCAGCAGAGTCGCCTGTTGCACACGGCGGCAATCAAATTGAGGCACATGACGGAGATACCGCACCGAGCGATAGCCGCCAGAGGCCGCGGCCAGAACTCGGAAGGACAGAGACCGCCGCCCCGTCGACGGGCCAAAGCAGGGCCGCTGGTGCTGGAGAGATTCCACGTCACCCAGCGCTGCGATGCGAGGCTGTCCGTCCAGCTTCCAAACGTTCGTGAGCAGGTTCCTGCGGCACACGTCCCGTTCGGCGTGAGGCACACAGCGCTTAGCCAATCTGGCCAAGTCTGTGCTCACCGTGGATGCTATGAGCTTGGCGTCGCTTTCGTTTGAGAGCCCGTGGCCGGGCCTTGCCCAGCCCTCGGGTGCACTCCACCACCGACGGCGTCCCGTCAGCTCTCGGAGCGAACTGAAGCCAAGCGTGGCCGAGACCTGCCGAGGGGCGTACCCCCATGTATGGGTGGCATCATCGTGTTGAAGAAGATGGGCAAAGCACCAGTTGCCCGAGCCAAACCAAAGTACGGCATCCCGTCGGGGCGAACGGCCATAGTCCGCGCACGGCGTGCAGCTGCAACCATGCCACCTCTGGCAATGGTAAAACCGAAGATCTGGTACACAGAGAGAGTGAAGCTGAAGGTACATGTGTACGTCAACACTCGGCGCTTCCTTCGCACGAACATCGGTTCCCAGTGAACGCGACGAGCGGCCGCCATTCCCAGGGGGTCTGTGGAACTCGCGGGGGTCGCCGAGGGCGAGGCTGACGCCGAGGTCGGGAGTGAAGGCTGCAGCATTCCCGCCAAGATTTGCGTGCTGCCGAGAGGTCGCCAACGCTGAGCTGTTTGAAGTGTCCGCCATGCGCGGCCCTTCCAGTAAGCGCCCGCGTCATGGACGCCTCTCTGATGAGCAGCGGCGTTGTACCGTTGAGCGTCTCCACGCAAACGTTCAAGAACATATATGGCCGCCTCGCGCATGCGAGAGGCACTTGAGTCGGGGTCGACCAGGACGGCGCCTGCCTCGGCAATCTGGACGTTTTGTGCAGTAATGGGGGTTGTCGAAATGAGTAAGCCCAAAGTGCGCAAATCTTGTTGCCAAAATGCCCGAGCAGCAGATTGGAATACCAGCAATGCTGCAACAGGGTGCACTTGGTGAGTAGCCAGGTCGGGTTCGCGGAGGAGCAGGTTGCGGGTCAGTTTGGCAGCTATTTCGATGTTCACCTTGGTGGCGCGTCATTTCTGGAAGATGTCACCATCGTGGGGGTGAGTAGCCGGCTGGAGCCTGTCGAAGTACTCCGCATAGAGCAATTGGCGAAAGTTCCACTCAGGAGCAAGAGGAGGAGGAGGAGGAGGAGGAGGAGGAGGAGAAGAAGAAGAAGAAGAAATGAGAGGGGGAAGGGGAAGTGATCAGGGGAGGAGGAAGAGGACGACGACGACGACGACGACGACGACGACGACGACGACGACGACGACTTCGACGAGCAGAAGGGCGTGCGTCTTGCGCGCGGAAGGCGGGGGAAACGGCCTGGGCGGACTGCAGATATTCCGCCAGGGAGCTCGTCTTTTCAAGGCGTTAGGGCGTGCAAGGAGCACGGGAGTGTGGACGATGAGAGCGGCGAGGGTGCGCAGAGGGACTGGCGTGGCCAGGCCAGCACGCTGCCCGGGACGCCAGCGCGGTGCGGCTGGGCGAGATCAACGGCCCTCTACTGACGACAGCCGAGTAGGCGCCACGCGGTGCGCTTTTGCCACTGACTCCGTCGCCGCGGCATCCTCCTTCGCCTTCGCCATGTACGCCCTCACCTTGCTGACCTCCTGGTTGTAGGTGTAGCCCGCGTCCCAGTCCCAGCGAGGGTCCCATTGCCCCCCGCCTCCTCCTCCATACCACTCCCCGGTTCCATAGGGGGTCCCGGGCGTCCCATATTTAAAAGGGATGACTCCTGCCTTCAGATCGGTGGCATGTCCGTACACGTGCGGCCCAGGGCTAGAGCCAGAGCCTTCCCACTTCTCCAGCTGGTCCAGTCCAGGGACATTGAGGTGGCCTTGGCGGGGGTACTCCAGTTTGGGCGGTGGCGCCGACTTGCACCACGTGGGAACGGAGAGGCCGCGCCTCTCGAAGTACGCGGGGTTCACCCACACATGGTCCATGTAATGAAAGCGCGGCTCGACATAGTTGATCCAATACGCGTCCAGGCCACCGATGTAATTGAAGGAGGCGTTGTGCATGATCTCAAAGATGAGCTCTTCGGTAGCGTCCTTGGACCTGTGCCGAGCGAACCACTGGTAACCACGACCGGACCGACGACCATCGAAGCGGACCAAGACGACCCCGAACTCGATGTTCTTCCCTGAGTAGAAGAAGGTCTCGTTCAGAACTTCTGCCTCATAATGGCCGTTGTGCACGGCCCAGAAGTCGATGGTCTTGCGACCGCCCAGCTCTTCCATGAAGGTGGGCAAGTTGTAGGCGTGGATCTGGTGACCGCTCAACATGTCGATTACGCCATCTGTGTCGAAACCGATCTTCGTGGCGTTTCCTGTCGGAGATAGACACCCCAGGAATATCCACGCCTTCCGCAGCTTGCCCCACAGCGTCGCGAACTCGTATATTTGAGGCTCGAGTATGAGGCCGCGCCAGCCAGTGAGCTCGAGTAAGAGCGTGTAGCTGTTCGTCTCGCCATCCCCACCGTGAGTGTCCAGGTAGAAGCCATTGGTGACGTTCTCGAGCACCTGCGTTATGAGCTTGACGTCCTGCCAGGCGTTGCTGAAGGTCTGGATGTTATCCCCGGTTTCCAGGCTGTACTCGACCCAGTGGGGCACGTCGAGCATGTGCATGGCCGAGTACTCGTGGACGGGCCACGAGTCGCCAGTGCGCGGTGTGCCGACGCCCCAAGGCAGCTCAGCGCTTTCGCCCTCCCCGGCCCTCTGGAACTCCTCCGAGGGCTGGAACTCCCCGCTCCCCCGTAGGGCCTGTCTCGAGTCCACGTCCAGGAGACTGTTGGCCCGCCTCCGCATGTCGCCCGGCGGCACGAGCACGGGCTTGCTGGACGACGCGTTGTCGAGGTCGAGGAAGTACTGCAGGGCCTTCGCCGACAGGTTCGAGGCGTGCCCGTCGGCGTTGTTTTGGTCGGCCCTGCGGCCAGCATCCGAGGCCTCCCTATGGAAGGCGATGCCCCGGGCCAGGGGCGCGCACAGCGCCAGAAGCCAGAGCGCCATCACCGCCTGCGGGAGTGCGCGTGCGGTGGAACGTGGAATCACGAAGGGAGGGGCGGGGCAGGACAGGGGCGGCGCCTCGGGCCAGAATGGGCGCACTGGAGGATGGGCGTGTGAAACTTTCCATGAAGCTGCCCCCACCGGGAGATCGTAGTTCGCGACCGTGTCGTGCGTGACGTGCGACGTGCGTGCGAAGCTGTGCGCCAGCTCCCCAGGTCCTTGGGTCGGGCGGCGGAAAGAAGTCCTGTTGCTGCTGCTTTTGGGGGGCGGCGGCGGGCGCGGTGTCCCGACGGGGTCCCGCCCCTGTCCTGATGGCGTCATGACGGTGTCCCGATGGTACGCGTGCCTCGATAGCTTTCCGACGGTGTCCCGATTGTGGACCGAGGGTGTCGCAAAGAAACTAAACAGCATTTTCTACAGGTTCTTCCACAAGTCGCGGAATTCGTTCCACGGAGAGCAGCTCCCAATGCACCATCTCTCGCACTGCCACAAGAAACCGCGAACGAGTAGCGAGAAGAGAAGCAGAGGAGGGAGGAGGAGGAGGAGGAGGAGGAGGAGGAGGAGGAGGGGGAGGAGGAGGAGGAGGAGGAGGAGAAGCAGTAGGAGGGGGAGGAGGAGGAGGAGGAGGAGGAGGAGGAGGAGGAGGAGGAGGAGGAGGAGGAGGAGGAGGAGGGGGAGGAGGAGGAGGAGGAGGAGGAGGAGGAGGAGGAGGAGGAGGAGGAGGAGGAGGAGGGGGAGGAGGAGGAGGGGGAGGAGGAGGGGGAGGAGGAGGAGGAGGAGGAGGAGGAGGAGGAGGAGGAGGAGGCTCGGAGGAGGAGATGAGGAGGACGAGGAGGAGCCTACAATAACAGGTGGCACAAATTACTTCGTGGACTTGCTGGACTGCCAGGGCAAACCCATTACATCAGACTACTACAAGAACCACGGCCTCCCAACCCAAACGGGTACGCACAACAAGCGCACCCTGCAGACAATCTAGTACGGACACGCCCAGCGTGCGCGTGGCAGTAATCAGGAGGACGACTACTGGAAAATACGTTGCAAAGTTACCAGGACAGAAGTTGGTACTCCGCTAGTGACACCACACCGCGGTACCGAATGCCTGGGACGTGCGACGTCTACATCACTGCGGACAGTATACGCCGTGTACAACGCTACGCGCAAGGTACGCCGTCCTCGGTATGTACTGCTACATCCCGTGAGACATCCCGTGAGACATCCCCCTCCCCTTTTGGGCATCACGAAAGTGGCGACAATTGCGCAAGTCGCAGCCACCCAAGGAGCTGCGAGGTCTTGGGCAATCCTCTACTCCGCCGTGCCTCCCAGGAGCACACGAAAGTGGCGACTGTTGCGCAGTTCGCAGCCACCCAGGGACCTGCGAGGTCTCGGGCAATCCCCTACTCCATCGTGCCTCCCAGGAGCCAACGAAAGTAGCGGCTGATGCACAGTTCGCAGCCACCCAGGGACATGCGAGGTCCCGGGCATTTCCCTACTCCGCCGTGCCTCCCAGGAGCCAACGAAAGTGGCGACTGTTGCACAGTTCGCAGCCACACAGGGAGCAGCGCAGGAGGAGGCAGGAGGAGAGGGGAGAACGAGGGGGAGGAGAGTAGAGGTGGGGTCAACAATGCTCTATTGAAAACGAGAGCCCAACATGGGAGAGTTGGGGAAAAGAACAGCAGCACCAAAACTACAGCATAAAGCCTGGCGAAAGACCCCTAATGCTGTTGTGAGTACCGTCGTTGTGGGTATCGCATTCGGTGGATCTCTTTCTGGGAGCACCAGGCGCGTGAAGGGTGTGCCAAAGTTTGGCGGGGGCGCCTTACGGTCGCTGCCAACGGGGCCGTAATCCCTGTGGGGGCACGAAACGAATGAGGGGTGTACCAAAATGGGCGGCTGGGACGCATGCGGGCTGCGCCACTGGGTCCTTCGGTGGAGCTCCCTATGGGGCCATGCAACGAGTGAGGGGTATGCCGACATGGGTGGCAGGGACGCACGCACGCTGCGCCACTGGTTCCTTCGGTGGAAACCCTTTATGGAGCCAGGAAACGTGTGACGAGTATGCCGACATGGGTGGCTGGGACGCATGCGGGCTGCGCCGCTGGTGCCGTCGGTGGACCTCCTTATGAGGACACGACCCGTGTGAGGGGTGTACACAAATCGGCGGCTGGGACGCATGCGGGCTGCGCCATTGGGGCCTTCGGGGAAGCTTCCTATGGGGCCATTCAACTCGTGAAGGGTATGCCGACTTGGGTGGCTGGGACGCACGCGGGCTGCGCCACTGTGGCCTTCGGTGAGGCTCCCAATGGGGCCACGAATCGTGTGAGGGGTGTGCCGACATGGGCGGCTGGGACGTATGCGGACTGCGCCACTGGGGCCTTTGGTGGAGCTCCCTATGGGACCACGAAACGTGTGACGGGTGTCCCGAAGTGGGTGACTGCCACGCATGCGGGCTGCGCCACTGTGGCCTTCGGTGAGGCTCCCTATGGGGCCACGAAGCGTGTGAGGTGTGTACCGACATGGGTGGCTGGGACGCATGCGGGCTGCGCCACTGGGGCCTTTGGTGGAGCTCCCTACGAGGCCACGAAAAGTGTGAGGGGTATGCCGACATGGGTGGTTGGGACGCATGCGGGCTGCGCCACTGTGACCTTCGGTGGAGCTCCCTATGGGGCCACGCAACGAGTGAGGGGTATGCCGACGTGGGCGGCTGGGACGCACGCGGGCTGCGCCACTGGGGCCCTATGGGGCCACAAAACGTTTGAGGGGTATGCCCACATGGGTGGCTGGGGAGCATGCGGGCTTGACCACTGTGGCCTGTAGTGGGGCTCCATATGGGACCACGAAACGTGTGACGGGTGTGCCGAAGTGGGTGGCTGCCACGCATGCGGGCTGCGCCACTGTGGCCTTCGGTGAGGCTCCCTATGGGGCCACGAAGCGTGTGAGGGGCGTGCCAACGATCATGATGACGATGATCACAGGCGCTTGCCTTGGGAACATTCGACGGCGCGTTTCGAACTGGGGGGGGGAGGGCCCCCCAAACACTCGGCGCCGTCGATCAAAACCAAAGGGGGCTCCCCTCCCCCCAAAGCCCCCCCCTCCCGACCCCCCCCCTCCCAATGGGGGGAGTGGGTTCGGAGGGGGGTTTGAGACCCCCCCCCCGGGGCGGCGCCGGCGGCCGCCAGCAGCACCGACGGCGGGGACGCAGCGACGATGACCAGAGGCAGCCCACGACGGGGGGGGTTCAAACCCCCCCCCCTTGCGCCGAGGGGGGGGAGGGTTCAAAAACCCCCCTCCCCCCGGCGCCGGCGCCAGCGCTGGCGGCGGCCTGGCGCCGGCGCCGGCCAGCATCGCGCCTGCGCTGGCGCCGGCGCAGGCGGGAACGCAGCGACGATAACCACCACTACCACCACCACCACCACCACCACCGCCACCACCGCTTCAACCCACCACCACCACCAACACCACCAACACACCACACAACCACCACCACCACCACAGCCACCACCACCACCACAACCACTACCACCACTCACCGTCACCACCACCACTACCACAAAAACCCACTTCCACTACCACCACCACCAATCTACCACGCCACCACCACCACCACCGCCACAACCACCACCACTACCAGCAGCACAACCCACCACCACCACCAGAAGCCACCACACCACTACCACCACCACCACCGCACCACCACCACCAGCCACCACCACCACCCACACCACACACCACCACACCACCACAACCACAACCCACCACCACCACCAGCACCACCCACCACCACAAACCCACACCACACCACCACACCACCACCACACCACCACCACCCACCACACCCACCACCACCGCTACCACAACAAACCACAACACCACCACCACCACAACCACCACCACCACCGCCACCACCACCACCGCCACCACCACCACCACAACCACCACCACCACCAACACCGTCGTCCTCGTCGGCGCTCCCCGCCGCCGCCGCCCGCCGCCGCAGGCGCCGGCACCGGCCCAGAAAAAGAAATCGTCGTCCCCCCCGCCGCCGCCGCCGCCAGCCAAGGAGAGGGAGAGAGGAGAAGTAGGGGAGGGGGGGGGGGGTCGAACCCCCCCCCTCAATCCAGGGGGGGGGTCCGGTTCCAACCCCCCCCCTCCAAGCGACCACAAAACGCGCTCTTTCTGATGACGTGACGTCGATAGTTATGATGTGATTATGATGCTGGAGCTGATCATGCTAATGATGATGCTGATGATGATGTTGATGATGGTGATGATGGTGGTGATGGTGATGATGGTGATGCTGATGATGATTATGATGATGCTGGCGATGGCGATGATAATGAGTATGATGGTGATGCGGATGATGATGATGGTGATGATGATGATGAGGACGATGACGATGATGATGATGATGATGATGTTGATGATGACGATGATTATGCTAGTGGTGATGATGATGGTGGTGGTGGTGATGATGATGATGGTGATGATGATGATGATGCTGACGATGATGATGATGATGATGATGATGATGATGATGATGATGATGATGATGATGATGATGGTCGTGATGATGATGGAGGGAGGGGAAGGAGGAGGAGGAGAAGGAGGAAGAGGAGGAGGAGGGGAAGAACGCGGGAGAAGGGACACTGCGCACTGTCTCGTCAAAACGAAGACCCAACACCACAGGATGGCTTGGAATGAGGAATCAAAAAAAACTGTATCTGGAGGAGAGGAGATCGAACAACCCAGCGACAACCTCCACAAGCGAAGCGTGAGAGACGCTGAATGCAACTAGCATGATGTGGGGTGGAGACGCAGGCAACCCAAATACATGTTCCCAGCGCGACCAGCTGAGTTTGACGCCTCGGAAAAAATGCCCACTGAACGAGGCGGACAATCGCCAGGCCAACCCGGAGCGCCCCACAAGCCGACCTTGAACAGGTCATTTCGTGAAGAGACCCTCGGCCGGGAAAAACAACAACAACAAAAGAAACAGCGGAGCCAAGCGCCTAAGAGCTTCCTGCCATAATTGATGCCCAGGGATCCTTGCGTGAACAGGAGGAGGAGAGAGAGGAGGAAGGAACGGGAAAGAGCGGGGAGAACAAACCCATGAAAAGGGGTACAAGCTAAAGCGCAATACAAAACTCCGTGAATTGCCACGCATACCTACACGCCTTCGCACATGGATCGGTCTGGCGGCAGCTCGACGAAGTAAATTAGCAACCTAAGGGGGAAGGCGAGCAGAAAGAAGGCAAGCACACATGGCTGACCAGGCCCGCAAAAACAACGACCTAAGGGGAGGAGGCGAGAGAGCCCCAAAAAAAGACGAGGCGAGCCCCCATAGAGGAGCCTCGCAGATAGCGCCAACTTGAAACAATAGCGGAGCGAAGATGGATGCCACTACCTCACACGAGGCGGCGTCCACCGCATTGGCCACCAAGCCCCGTCTGAGCCGCTGACCACTCCCGATGCAGTCAGCCTCCGTGGCCAC